GACAGACAATTTCATGAAGACATAACATCAAAAAATGGTTACAATCATACTATCAATGAAATATGTTACATAAGATCTTTGGCAAAAACTGTATATGCAAAATCAGATACAGCATTTGAAATTTAAGCATGTTGTTTTAAATATGATAAAGGTAGAAAGAATTCTAGTGTAAAGACAAAACACTTTCCTTCTCTGATAATTTTTTTTTTTTTAAATCTACATGTATTTTAAGATTACATTGTTGTCTTATGTGCATTCAAAATACTTAACTAAATCACAAGTAAACATTGGAAAGGTTTTCAAAAAGATACCCACCAACCAATGAGGTCTCCTTCAACACAGACCATCAAGTTGTCTTCCACAACAACATCTTTTGTGACCTCTGCAGAAAATAAGGGCAGCACTGGAATATTAGCAATAAAAACTTTTGTCTTAGTAGTTTCCTACAAGTGGAGAATCCACTTTTTTGGATCATTGGTTGTAACAAGAATTGACCAACCACCTTATATCTTGATATTAGAATAAAAAAGATTCCCCAAACTATTACTTTTCAGTTTAGGCAACTATCCTTTTTTGCTTTTGCAAAAATCAATCAATCAAACAAAGCAACCCACAATCTTTCTAGCCTCTTTGGTTGCAAGAAAAGAGACAGTAGATAACACACACCCCCATGACCTTTGGATGTCGTGGGGGGGGAATTTATTCCTGAATAAATATTGCCTTCCAAATATTCCCTTTCAATAAAAAATAAAGTCAGAGTAACTACATACAAGAAAAAACCAATCTGCAATTCCTATTGCAGTGGTGGCAAACCTTTTAGAGACCGAGTGCCCAAACTACAACCCAAAACCCACTTATGTATTGCCGGGTGCCAGGTGGGCGTGGCTGTGGTGGTCATGGCAAACTGGGTGGGTGTGGCCAAGGTGGGCATGGTCACCTTGATGTTGCTCATGGGGAGGGATGCCTGTGGGGCCAGGCAGGGTTGAGGAAGATCCAGGGGGTCTCTGGCAGGTGGGGCAGTGGGCAGGAGGTTTGTGGGCAGTGAGGCAAGGCAAGGCAAGGCGAGGCAGGGCGGGGGTGCCATTGTCGCAGGGCAAGGCGAGGCAGGGGCCAGAGCAGCTGCTGCCTGACACCATCGGCCCCCACACATAGAGGCCAGCGAGCGCATGGGGGCCAACAGTATCCGTCAGCAGCCACAGCCTGCCAGCCCCTGCCAGCACTCTGGGGCTCTGCAGCCCGCCACCAGCAGTTCAGAGAAGCTGCCTCTGAGCTGGACAGCCGGCCGACAGCTGAGGAGACGATGCAGTGGGTCATGCCCGGGAAAAGGAGAGCATGCGAGGCCAGGAGGGATGGGATGGGGGGGAGGGGAACCAGCCATGCTGGGATTCATCCGGCCACATGGGACCTCGGTGAGTTGTGAGGCGGCTGGTTGAAGAGGGACGGTTGCCATCTCCGGGGCATGGCGCGCGTGCCCACAGAGAGGGCTCTGAGTGCCGCCTCTGGCACGCGTGCCATAGGTTCGCCACCACTGTCCTATTGTATCTCTAAACAAAAGTCTGCTCTCATTTATTACAGTAATTTATATGTTACTTGTACATCAGACACTATGTAATAATAATAATAATAATAATAATAATAATAATAATAATAACAATAATAATAATAATAATAGTAAAGTTGGAAGGGACCTTGGAAGTCATCTGGTCCAACCCCCTGCTCAGGCAGGAAACCCTATACCATTTCAGACAAATGGCTGTCCAGTCTCTTCTTAAAAACCTCCAGTGTTGGAGCATTCACCACTTCTGGAGGCAGGTTGTTCCACTGGTTAATTGTTCTGACTGTCAGGAAGTTTCTCCTTAGTTCTAGGTTGCTTCTCTCCTTGATTAGTTTCCACCCGTTGCTTCTTGTCCTGCCTTCAGGCACCTTGGAGAATAGCTTGACTCCCTCTTCTTTGTGGCAGCCCCTGAGATATTGGAACACTGCTATCATGTCCCCCCTCGTCCTTCTCTTCATTAAACTAGACATATCCAATTCCANCTTTAGCCTCCAGTCCCCTAATCATCTTTGTTGCTCTTCTCTGTACTCTTTCTAGAGTCTCAACATCTTTTTTACATCGCGGTGACCAAAACTGGATGCAGTATTCCAAGTGTGGCCTTACCAAGGCATTGTAAAGTGGTATTAACACTTCACGTGATCTTGATTCTATCCCTCTGTTAATGCAGCCTAGCACTGTGTTTTCCGTTTTGGCAGCTGCAGCACACTGCTGGCTCATATTTAGGTGATTGTCCACTAGGACTCCGAGGTCCCTCTCACAGTTACTACTGTTGAGCAAGTTACCCCCTATACTATAAATGTGAGTGCTTGGGCCTTCCGGTGCCAAGGTGTTTCCATATCTGGTCCTGGATGAGGTGGCACTGCATCAAGATTGACTTGGGAAGCAATCTGGGGTCTCCTCTTGTACTCTTGCCTCCTCCTATAAGAGCAGGTAATAGCCATGGTTAAAAGGCCCTTTGCATACCTTTTGGTTGTGCACCAATTATGCTCATTCCTGAACTGGGGGCTCTGCTCACTGTCACTCGTGTTCTCATGACCTCTCTTTGGATTATTGCAATACACTCTACATGGGGCTGCCCCAAATAACATTAAGAAACGTCAGCTGGTACAGAATGTAGCTGTACAAGCTGTAAATGATGTCAGTTATTTGGCACTTATAACACTATAGTTTTATGGGTTGCATTGGTTGCCAGTGGGTGCCTGGGTACTATTCAAGGTGATAGAATCATAGAACTAGAAGGGACTTCCAAGGTCTTCCAGTCCAACCCCCTAGCCAAGTCAGGAGTCTTTATATCATCCCAAATGGTTCTCCAATCTTTTCTTGAAAACTTCCAGTGATGGAGCACCCATAGCTCTGGGAAGCAAGCTATGTCATTGATTAATCATTCTGTCACGAAATTCCTTCTTATTTCCAGATAGGACCTCCCTCCGACAATGCTTCTCATCCTGGCCTCATATGCTATGGAGAATAAATCAGCCCCCTCCTGTGACAGCCCTTCAAGTATTGGAAGACTGCTATCAGGTTTCCATTAAGCCTTCTCTTTGTTAGGGTAAAACAGGGGTAGTCAACCTTGGCTCTTTAATGACTCGTGGACTTCAACTCCCAGAATTCCTGAGCCGAATTCTGGGAGTTGAAGTCCACGAGTCATTAAAGAGCCAAGGTTGACTACCCCTGGGGTAAAACATATCTAGTTCTTTTAGCCGTTCATGGTATGATTTAGTTCCAGACTTCTTATTATCTTTGTGGCTCTCTTCTCCACTCTTTCTAGACCTTTTTGTATCATAATGACCAGAACTGGGCCTGGTATTCCAAATGTGGCCTCACTAGTGCAGTAGAGCAGTACTATCACTTTTCATGATCTTGATGCTATCCATTTGTTGATGCAGCCTAGGACTGTAATGGTTTTTTTGGCAGCTGAAGCACTCAGCTGACTCATACTTAAGTGGTAGTCCACCAGGACACCTAGAGCCCTCTCACAGGCACTACAGTTGAGCCAGGTACTGCCTATCCTGTACTGTACATCTGGTTTTTCCTAAGTGAGGACTTTGCTTTTTCACTACTGAAATACATCATGTTGGATAGGACATAATATTCAAATCTGTGAAGATCTTTCTGAATCTTGAGTCTATCTTCCAAAGTGTTAGCAATTCCCCCCAGCTTAGCATCATCCACAATTTGATGAGCAACCTTTCAATCCCCTCACCTAGGCCTTTTATGAAGCTGTTGAAGAGCACTGGGCCCAAGACAGAACCCTGAGGTACCCCACTGCATGTTTCACTTCACATAGATATAATTACATTGAGGGCTACACACTGAGAGTGGTTGGTCAGCCAACTGCAACTCCATCTGGTGGTGGTACTGTCTATCCCACATTGTTCTATCTTACCAAGTAGGCTGTGGTCCATTTTATCAAATGCCTTATTGAAGCCTAAGTATACTATATCCACAGTATTTCCTTGGTCCACTAATTTAATCACTTCATCAAAGAAGGCAATAAGATTTATTTGGTATGACCTGTTTTTAACAAACCCATCTGACTTCTAGTAATTACCTAGTTCATTTCTAGATGCTCACAAATCTGCTGCTTGATTATCTTTTCTAGGATTTTCTCAGGTACTGATATCAAGCTGATTGGTCTGTAGCTTCCTGGATCCTCTTTTTTTCCCCTTTTTTGAAAATTGGAATCACAACAGCTCTTTTCCAGTCCTCTGGCAGTTCCCCTCCAGGAGTTCTGAAATATTTTTTTCAGTGGTTCCAAGATCCTATCTACCAGATGGTGTCACCTTTAAAGCCCTTTATGGCTTGGGACTAAGCTACCTAAGGGGCTGTTTTCTCTCAGTTTTCTCTACCTATTCAATCGAGTCCATCTATACAATTTGATCCAGCAGGATTGACTGTTGGAATATAGCATAAGTTACTCCATTTTGTAACCTTCAGCAAGCTTAATAGTGCTTACGTGTTAGGTTGCAATTAGCAGCTGAACACACGTAAGAACAGAGAACAAAGAGACAAGTCAAAAGAACTGTCTATGCAAGCTACTATATTATCACTTCCTGATAAGACCTTCCAATGTGAACCACAATGGCAACTTTTANAGGTTCTGTCAGCCAAAGAATGTCAGCTGATGGGAAATAGATGTGACTTTTCTGTGGTAACATCTGCCCTCTGGAACATACTTCTTCCTGAGATTAAGATGGCCTGACCCTACTGCCTTTTGGAAGACCTTGAAACCTGGTTTGAGGCCCAGGGCCTTGAGTGTGTGTGTTTTCTTGTTATGTTGAAACCTATGCATATTTTGGCTGCTACTTTTTAAAAATTATTTTTATATTGTGTTGAACTGGTTAAGTATTTTGATGATTACTCATTGCCCACTCAAAAATGAGCAGCTGTACAAACTGAATAAAAATATATAATGGACCATGTATCAAGCTAAGATCAAAGTATCAAAACATACATTCCAAATACTGAGTTATAATAACCAGTGCAGTTACACATTACCCAACTAATCTCCTTGAATTATGGTAAGTATCTCCTTCAGAATAAGCATGTTTATGAAATAAAACATGCATGTGTATCTATCTAAAGAGAAAAAGAGTTATTTTAGAATCCTTTGTTAAATTTAGGGATGCCCAAAACTTAAATCTGTCTAAATAATTAAAGTAGGGTAGCAAGAATGTTTGTCTCTCATCCATATTAGTGTTCAAAATACAAGTATTCATATTTAGTACTACTTATAATTTATGGGAGTTATATTATTACATTAAGGACCTATTGTTTTGATCTGAAGGAGACAACCAGTCTGATCATTGTGATACAAGAAGTTATACAGTTGAAATTCCACCATTCCTATCAATTACATTGATGGTGAAATGGTCAAGTAGCTAAACAAGCATTTTGGAATGCCTACATTAGTATCGCTTTTAGATCTGTACAGGGAGAGCCAGTTATCTTGCTATGAGTATGCAACACATCCGTTCATATTGCTGAATATAATCATATACCGTAATAATTTCTGAGAAAATTAATTTCAAGGCTCAGCCATTAATGCTTATCCAAATTCTACAGGGGGGAAAGTGACGAACAAATCACCATGCTAATTAGAGGAAAACGCGCCTAAATAAAATACCATGTTTTGCTCTTACACACACCCACACCCACACCCCTCCACTTTCTGGACACAAATGGCCGCGGAACGTTTCACGCTTAACAAGCACACGTGTATGTCCTCGTCAGCGAGAGCCCCATAAGCATCCTTGGTGCAGAACGATTCGCATTTTCCTACTACCTTACTAACGTTCGGTGCCCCTCGAAATTTCGCCGATTAACAGCTACGTACTCGGAGTTGGACTTTAGCATTTTCATTCTCCGTGGCAAAACACCCGATCAACTCACTGAAACAAACAAAAAGGCGGAGTTTCTCCTCCTGCGCGCACAAGTGGAGCGAGTCTCCTAATACGACCCGGCAGCGCCCGCACTGATAGACAACGCAGTCTTCCAGCCTGAGTCCCCGAGCGCCCGGAACTCGCTCCCCGCGGCTCTCCCACTTCGCTGGGCTTCGCTGGACTTGGCAGCCGGGCCGCGTCTCGGGTCCTGCCCGCTCTACTGTGATCGTGCCGCCCACCTGGGGCTCCTCAAACAGAAGCCGAAGTTTTTTCCGTACAGACATCAGGCCTCCCGCCGAAGATTCAAACTTTGGCTTCGGCTTCCTACTGCGCTGATTGGCACCCCCTTGAGCTCGTGTGGGCGGATAGCAAGGACGGCCCCCCTCTCCCCGTTCATTGGCGAAGGCGCCTGTTCGTCTTTCGCTTTTATCTAATCGAGTTGCGAGAATTCGAGCTCTGAAACTTTCTGGCAAGTTTCTAAGGAAACAAAACGCCCCCTATTTATTTATAAACGTTTTTCATCCTGGGATCCGATTGGCTTTTCCAGCAAGGGCTCGGCAGAGGTTTCGCCACGATTGGGGAGTTTGAAAATAGAGGCGGGACCGAAGAGGCGCGGCGGTTGAACCTTAGCGTCTCCTCGAAGAGGGAGTTGATTGTTGGGCGGGTAACTGGCAGTCATGGAGGCGCTCTCTTCGTCTCAATTGGAGGCGCTCAAATACAGCGAATTGCAGTCCCTGGCCAAGTCGGCGGGGTTGAAAGCTAACCTCAAGGTGAGCTCTGGGCTGGCCAGGCGGGTGGGGAAGCAAAAGCACTTTGGCGTAGATAGTAGCGAGCCGAGAGAGCGGGTCCCTGGCCAGCCCTTTTGAGCAAGGGACGTCTCGATACCTTCATTATAGGTTGCCGCCTCGAACTAAACCTTGGAAATGGGCATAATGCGAGTCGTGGATCTTGCCTTGCAGGACCATGATTTTGTGACTTCGGTAGACTACGTGGATTTTATTACGCTAGTGGTCCGTTCCCTAAAGCAGGGCTGAACAAGTGTGATTTAGTACAGATAGTCCTCGACTTACAACAGTTTACTTAGTGACCGTTCAAAGTTACAAGGACACTTGAAAAAAAGCGAGTTGTGACCATTTTTTATGGTTATGACCGTTGCAGCATCATGTGATTTACATTTGGTTGTTTGACAATTGACTTGCATTTATAAGGGTCATGTGATCACTTTTTGCAATCTTCTGACAAGCAAAGTCAATGGGGAAACCAGATTCGCTTAACAACTGTGTTACTAATTTAACAATTGCAGTCAACAAATGTGGCAAGAAAAGTTGTAAAATGGGGCAAAACTCAACGAATTTCTCACTTAGCAACATAACGTTTGGGCCCAATTGTTGTAAATTGAGGACTACCTGTACTGTATTTTTCAAACTTGACAACGATAAATTATGTGGACTTCAATTCCCAGAATTCCCCAACCAGTATGGAGAATATCCACGCTTCTTAACCCTTGCCAAGTTCGAAAAACATTTAGTGTAATCTCTGATTACTTCTCTGCCTCTGTCATAAGAACTGATGAAAATCTGGGTGTGATGGTAGATGGGATTTTACTTGTCCAATTAAAATGTGTAGTCATCTCCACTAGCCAATATGGTTTGTTTTTTTCAAAAAGTTTTCCAAGGGCTGATTCAACTGTGATCCCTACACCTTTTGCAAAAGGACAAAGATGCTGCTGGAATGAGAGATTCTCTGGGCCTTCAGCTGGGAACCAAGCGGTAGAATTGTGGGAGTTATGATCAGAAGATAGGCCTGAAGCTCAGCTAGGAAGCATCTAAAAGGGAGGTTGAAGGGCAAGGTTCCCATCCTTGAGGCAGCTGAAGTGAGACAAATATATCACAAATGTGTTACAAGTTTTTACACCTAGCTGCAGTAACTTGATTTATAACAAGCCTTTTTATAATTATTTTCTCTTAGGCAGCCAGGCTGTTAAATGCATTAAAGAATCACTTCTGTGAAGAAAATAAAAATATGGTAAGGGCACATTTTGACAATTTCATTAGCAATTTCATTTATCCTCTAGCAACGGTGTCTTAAAATAGAGTAAATCCTATTCCTTCCATATAATGAAAAGCCTCAAACACATTATTTAGCTGTCTGGCTATGGATCTGGTAGAAGTAATCTCATATTTATGTTCATCTGATTTTCTTTAGCATAACAGTTGTGGGGACAAACTACTATGAACAAACAACTTTTAGACTGTTGTTAACCAGGGTGGATAATCAATGATTTTTTTTAAAAACGTTTTTTTAAAAACGGGATTTTTTTATTTTTATCAAATTTATTTTAATAAAATGCTTTTGGGGTAAAAATCTATCTAAAGATAGTTTTCTATTTAAGATACATTAAGAATTTAGTTTATTCAGCATGAAATGGAGCTTAGTTATGTAGCGTGAGGCTGTATATTCTGCAATATTTACATTTTTAGTAAATTCATTCAATGAATCCAAGCTCTGGAAGCTGAGATAACATGCACTACATTGATGCATTCACACAATTTCACAGTAACCATGAGATAAATTATAAAACAAAGTTATCCCATTGTTTTGCAAATCTATGTACACTACAAACTGTATGATTGTTTGAAGAGAAATGTATCTGTACCAGGCTCTTAAGTGTTTTAATTAAATAAAAGAATTTGACTAGTTCTCCAACTATGTATGATTAACCTATTAACCTATTAAAATCGGTTCTGATATCGCTGTTTTACTAACCTGACAGCTTATTATTCTAAATAGGAAACCTTCATTTTGTTTGCAAATAATAATATTAAAGAGTCTAACTACCAGCAAGAATGAGTCCTTACATTTAAAGAGCACCTGTCATTTCAGATCCATCATGGCAGTGCCTGTTAGCAGGCATCCACTCACCTGATGCCCGCCACGTCCCTCTCCTTGTTGTGTCACTGCCGCATCAACAGCCGTCCCATTAAAGTGAATGGGACTGTTGGTGACTCAATGGCGGGTCAGAGATGACAGTTGCTCTTTAAAAATTATGATTTAAATTGAGCCTTTTAGTGATTTAAATCGCGACTTAAATCAACTCGATTTAAATCAAATCCACCCTGTTGTTAACTGAATAATACCTTATGGTTTGTCACTGAAATAAATATGAAGATGATAATAAAATGGCTCAGTTTCTTTTGTACAGGGTATCAAAAAGACATCCCCATCTGCAGATATTGAGGAACAGAATGGCAGTCAAATTTCCGTAAATCCATCCAAAATCACCAAAAGGCATAGAAAACAGAAAGAAGATAATACCCAGCAAACAACACAAGAAAATGTTAATGAAGAAAAAATAGAACTGGATTCAGAGAAAGAGGTGATACTATTTATATGAAATTGTAAGATATGCAAGTTCCTTGTTTTTAAGTTTGGTTGATTACTGTGAATATCAAGAGCTGGCAGAAGAGTATAAAAATAGAAATATATATCTCATAGTAATTTATGAATTCAGTAGACCTTTTTGACTTTATTATATTAATGATCTGTTCAATAAAGCAAGGCTGAAGAAACGTGATTTAGTACTGTGTGTTTCAAACTTGACAACATTAAGATGTATGGATTTCAATTCCACACATTGTTTAATGGAACATAAATTTTGCGATGCTATGTAATTTATTTTGCAACGCTTATTCTATTAGTTGCCAAAAAATGGAAGTTTCTACTGTATGTATGCTTCTGAAACTTTTCTCTAGCCTTGACATTAATAGTGTCCCTTTTCTGTCTGTAAATTTATATATTATATGGAACTACCGTAATAACAGGAATAAGTGTACTGAATGGAATAGAAATTGTATATGAATACACTTGCATAAATATATTGCCTGTATGAGAAAATTGAGGTGAAACTCCATTATATGCTTTCAGGATGCAGGATTTGGAAAGATACTGGGGATAAACCAAAATGATGTATCACAAAGCAGTGGAACAGCAGGAAACTTAGAAGACTTTGTCACTCCAAGTCAACAAAAAGAAAGAAATTCTACTAGGCAAAAAGGAGTTGAAAGTAATTTGCATTTATAAATGGAATATTTGTTTTGCTTTGACGTTTAGGACAAGTGTGTGGACAATTTATTTGAACTTTGTCACTAGCTTTTGTCATCTGTAAAATCACATAGAATTTTCAGAAACTGAACATAGTTTGGAGGAAACAATATCCGAATATTCAACGTTGCCTTGTCTAACAATCCAGCCATAAAGTTAATGTGATGGAAGCTTGGATACTATAAATGTCCAGTATTTTGTGGTGTGTTTTAGTTCTGATTAGATAACCCATATTTCAAGCAGGATAGCATCTACTACAAGTAGTCCTCACTTAACTATTAGTTCAGCGACTTTGAAATTATGACTGCAGCTGAACGGATGTTTTGACCTAACCTTGAAATTATGGCCATTGCAGCACCACCCCACCACCCAGTCACATGGTGCTTGGCAGCTCGCCTGCATTTAGGACCTCAACACTTGCCTATTCCCACTGCTTCCAGCTGACTTGTTTTCTTCCCACTGATGACAAGGCGTGCCCAACTGAGATAGCTACTGACTCTTCCCAAGGCCAGAGATGTGTAAGGTGTTTGGCTAATGAGCCAACTGGAAGTGTTGTTGCTAAGTGGTCCCTTCACCTGATGTTTCACTTAATGACTGCTTTGCTTAGTGATAGAAATTCCACTCCCAATTAGGGTTGTTAAGCATGGACTACTGTACTTGCATAATAACAAACTCCTTAAAAGAAGAATGTGGCTTTGTATCCTCTACCTTTTAACTCAGCAGCTTGAATGAAATAATCTAATTAACTTACTGCTGAATTAACCCATGAACTGTGATGTGTGATGGAAATTTGTAAAACCAAGTTTGACCAACTTAGAACTTGAGAAGTTTATGAATCTTTTTGATTGTTTCATAGAGATGCATCTCATATGTTTACCTCAGGTAAAACTTTACTGGATTCTCTTTCTGGAAAGAAAACTACTTGCACAGGAAGCAAATCTAAATTGGGAAGAAAAGGAACAGTTTCTTCTACCCCAGGTATGTATGTTAAGCATAATGACTGTATGCACAGAATGTTTACTTGTTTATAAATCAAAAGACTGGAGATAAATGGGGAAATATATTACATTGGAAACTTTTCAGGAACAGCCTCCCCCCCCCCCAAAAAAAAAAGTATTAAAACAATAGTTATTTTATTCTATAGAGATTGTTAATCTGTTCTATTTAAAAATAGATTATATGCATATAATATGTAAGTGCATGTGATTGCACATTATCCTCTATCCTTTCATTGGAGACAGCAAAAAATAAAACAATATGCAGATAGGGTGGTGAGCTGAAGAAAAAGATGTTGAGACTTCAGAAAAGAGCAACAAATATGATTAGGATTATTGCTGTCTAAGGGACTGCCACAAAAAAAGAAGGGGATCAACCTATTCTCCAAAGCACTTGAAGGCAAAACAAGAAGTAACAAATGGAAACTTATCAAAGAGATCCAACTTGGATCTAAGAAGAAATTTCCTGACAGTGAGAACAATCAGTGGAAAAGCTTGCCTCCAGAAAGAAATTGGACAATCATTTATCTGAAATGGTATACGGTCTCCTCTCCTGCTTGAGCAAGGAGTTGGACTAGAAGATTTCCAAGGTCCCTTCCAACTCTGTTAATCTGTTATTTCACGGCGGGGGAAAAGGAAAGAACACTGAATCAGAGGAAGAAAAGAAATAACTGAACTGGAAAGAAAATATATATTGAATCTTGACAATATATAGGGTGTATCAAAGTCAGGACCCACAGGCAATTTATTGCATAAATTACATTAAATGTTCAAATTGGATGCCATTTCATTTTAAATACTTTCTCATCCACTTCACACATGGCATTTGAATATTCCAAAGTGTAATTTTTTTTGTAAAAAAGTTAATGAAATGTGATTGGCCTATGATAGCGGCCCCGAACGTTTTGGGCGCCAGGAACTGATTCCGTGGAGGGCGGTTTGTCTGTGGACCGGGGGAGCCTGGGTTTGTGTGCTGCCTAAATCCCTCATGTGTGCAGTTGGGGCTTCGCTCACTTCTCGAGACCAGTTCTTGGCAGGCTATGGACCAATGCCCATCCGGGGACTAGGGGTTAGGAAACCCTGGCCTATGGGACCCAACATTTGGTATGCCTTATATATTTTATAGCTTCATTTAATTTGGAATGAGTAAGGGAACTGAAATAAACATTCCAAATTAATTGTGCTCCTTTATTTTAAAAAATTAATTTGCCGCATTGTAAGTCTTCTCTGGGTGTGCCTTAAAACATTTGCCCATGAACCTACTACTTTAAAAAAAATAGCTGACTTTTCTTGTTTCAGTATCAGGTAAATATTTAATATTAAGCTGCATGTTTCAATGAACTGGCAATGAAGAGAAGAAAAATCTGAGTAATAAACTTTTCAATATTGTAGATTTTAAGAAAATTCATGAGGCTCAGTTCAAGAAAATGTTATCTATTGATGAATACTTTGAAAGGAACAATAAAATGTGTAATTTCAGCAATTCAGTTAATGAAATCAAGGTAAGTGATCTTTCTCCTACCCAGATATATGAAGATTGAATTGAATGAAATTACAGTATGTCTCTTATTCAGTCTTATTTAAAAGAATGTGTGTATAGATGCCTTTAAAAAACAGCCTATCTTATTTTTGGAGATAATCTTATCAATTTGTTCTGTGAGCCCCTCAAAAAATGGGGATAGTTATATCATGGTCAAATTTCCCATTTACTGGAAATATTTAAACCCTGGCCAATTTAATCAGACTTCCATTCTTCAAAGGTTAAGTCCAATGATCTGTTTAAGGGATTTATTTGTTCACGGTTCTTGAAGACCTGTTCTCCAATAATAACAATATGACAAATCATATTTTTGCCTAACTAGCAAATGCCAAGTGGTGTGTCCTGCTTACATATATAACAAACAGGGAAAAAGCCCCGAGATTGCTTTGTGTTGCATAGGAAGCCTGGCTGTGGGAATATAAAATCCCCCCTTTCCCCATAGGTTTAGGGGAAAGCCATTATTGTGTTCAAAATAGCAACTCAAGTAGTTAGGATAAAGGATGATGAATAAGAAGGAATAGTAATTTCACTTCTCCAAACATATAGTTGGTCCAGAAATTAAGGACCATACTGAGTTGTGGCAAACATTGTTTAACATTTCAGCTAGTGATTCCACATATGATCAGACATTCAATGAGCTAGCTAGGGTAGGAATTAAGTCCTGATTCTCTTACTCAGTTTAGTGGACGCTCTTTTAGCTATCATCTATCAGTCTATAATAACCTTTTGTGGAGATCCTGTTATGAAAATGCATGACAAAAATAATCCTAATTATACTGAGAGCTTCTTCTGTATTTTGGCTTCAGAGATGAGTAGATGGAATGAGAGGTTTTCAATCAAGGCACTAAGCTTAAAAATGTCTTTGAGTGAAAGATATCTGTCATAACCCTTGTCTGAGTTTCAGCAGGAAGTGAAAACATGTCTATATGTACACTTTTTGGTTAGACTCGAGTACTGATTTTTTTCCCTATTTTCCCACAAGTGTGGGATCTGCTTTTTTGTTTCTGACCTACCGAGTGTCGATCTATTGGTTGTGACAGGAAATGCCTGATTGGCTTGTTGCACAGTCTCCTGGTTTCTAGGCTAGTGTCTTAACTATTAAACCAAACTGGCTCTCTAGTTAGAGTATTGATATGATACAGGGTTTTTTTGTTGGAGCTATTAACTTTGAGGTCTTTGGTGCTCTCTGAGTTGTTTTCTTGCAGATGTTTGTTTCATTACCCAAAGTAGAGGTAACATTAATGCTACTGAGGAATGGGGTTTGCTCTCAATTTAATCTACTGGCTTTCCTATCAATGTTGCTGGGCTGGGGGCTTTAGTTGGGCTGTTGAACTATTGTTTGGCAGTTCTTTGATTGGGGTATTGTTTGCTTGATCGTTGTTCTGAAGTTAAATCTTGGTGTTAAATCTATGCTCATCTGGGTGTTGATTGCTGGTGGAGAGGTGTTTTGGTTTTTTTGTTCCCTTTTTGGCTTGTTGATTCTCTTTTTTACACAGTATGTAGATGTTGTTTATGTCTATGTATCTATTGATAGCCAATTTATCAGAGTGCCATGTTTAGAATAATTTCATAGTGGTTTTGGACTTGGCTGGGTCTAGGATGAATGAGTTTCTCAGTTGAAACTATGGTTAAATCTGTTCACATTTTGTGAAATTAAAGAATTTTCATCATGTCTTGACTGCTATTTGGTGTTCTGCTAGTCTTCTGCCTGTTTGTCCTACATAATGGCTGTTGCAGTCTTTATATTATATGTTGTAGATGAATCCTGTTTTTTCTTCTGGGACTGCTGGGTCTTTTGGTTTACTTAGGATGTTTTAGAGGGCTGTAGTTGGTTCGTGTGCTGATTCCATGTGGTTGTAATAGTCTGTTGGTGCTTTGTCAGATTTTTTTGATGTATGCCAGTGTTATCTTTGGGTAATGAAACATCTGCAAGAAAAACAGCCAAGCTCAGAGATTACCAAGATCCCCTCATTTCAACCCTCAGCTACAAATATTCTCCTTTATCGGTAGCTATTAACTTTGGAAGTTATGTTTTGGACTGACTATAAAGTAATTTAGATTTTCTTAATTTCAAATAGTTTAAATTTGCAAAAATTTAGAAAACTATTTTGGCTCAAATTCTGGCTTATGTTAATGTCACTTTTTTGTTGCTCTTCATGGACCACTTAAAGTTTCTAAAAAACACAGGAACCTTCCTAATGACTACATTGAGCTCAGGCTGAACATCACAAGAAACCTGTGGCTTAAAACAAATATAAGTTCTTAATTAAAGTTTCCATTGTTTCTTGTGGTGATAGATGAACTGCAGTAAAGAAGAAAAGCAGTACTATTTTTTTAACAGTTTTTGCTTCTGTTTGATAATTTGTTCATCTCTATGCCTAGCATTGGTTTTTAAAAGCATCCTAGTATTTTATTATGAGCAATTGTTAAGAAGGGAAAAAAATCCTAGGTCTCTAATTGCAGATCCTGGCTAAGAAGAATAAGTCTCTGAAGACTTCTCAAAAAGAAAATCTAAATACAAATTCAAAGGTAAGGATAAATTTTCCGTTAATAATTTCCTTTCAACTTCCTTTCAACAAACCACATCCTAAAATGTGGACATGTCCCTCATCTCAGCAGGTACGTTCCAGTTCCAGAGGGGTTTTATTAAGTCCCCCTTCTCAAAAGAATAGGCTTTTTGCCACAGGCACTCCAATAAAACTGCGGTATTCAAAACGCAATTCCCTTGGCACTGCAAATAAAAGTATTCTATCTCGAAAATCATCCTTCAGTTCAACCAGCCTTTCTACAACTAAAATGAATGTCAGGTAAGACATTAAATAAAAATAAAAATAGCTTACATGTGGCAATGTGTGAATTACCAAATTTAAGGTCATAGAATCCAAATATATATATTTTCATAAACAAAAATACTTAAAATTGTTTGGACTTAGGTCAATTATTTATTTATTTATTGCATTTTGTCAGTGTAAAAATGAGGTATGCATTTGAGAGAATGATTACATGTAGAATCTACAAAAAGTTTTAAACAGAATTCTGAGCTAATTCCAGTGTTTTCTGTGACAGGATATTCAAATGTTTCAATATTTTTATATGCTCCTAGTTGTTTGGATGAAGTGTATATAAAATTATGAGCCATTGAATACTATAAATACAGTATATGTTTTTGTTAGGTTTTCTGAATCTACAAAAGACAATGAAGAGAAACGTTCCCTTATCAAGACTCCATCTAGGAAACCTTCATTTCTAAAAAACTGCACTCCAGATAATCAGAAAAGCAGTGAATGTATAACTAGCAAAGACTTCAAAGAAGGAACAGTGAACTGTCAGACAACAGAAACTTCTGTTACAAATTCTGGTAACTTTTCCGAAGAACTGTATAATTACTAACATGCACTTCATTTACATGTGATTGTTGTGGAGGATATTTATGCAGAATCTTTACACAGTCAAGACGATGTTCCTTTTGTTTACAGTATGTAGTTTTAAACTATTCTAATTGGTACCAAGGGTAAAAAAAAGCTGTATTCTAGCATTCAAGTGTTATTCCCATTTTTAAACTCAAAAGTTAAATGAGTATGATCTTGTTGCTTATTATCACTACATTGATTTTCTCCTTATAGCTGTCATTCCTTTCAAGTTTATAAATCAGACTGTAGAACCCACAAGCGCCAAGAAATCAGTATTTGATCTACAAGCAAGTCTATCAAGACCACTTACTTATCAGCCACACAAAGGTAGCCATAGTTTTAAAAATAACTCAAGTGTAAAAGAGCATGAAAATATTAGCAGTTGCAAACAAATTGAGAATTTAGTCACATACTGTCTGCAATTTGCCTTTATTTTTTCAAATGTACATTATTAATCTCAAATTAATCTATCGTGTAATTTGACATATTAATGGAAACTAAGTTAAAACAAACTATTCCTTGCTTTTTGAGTTTGTTCTTATCTCAAAACAAGTATATTTTTGGCTGGTCTACTGCTAATAAAGTATCTTGTTTTTTGGCTATATATTAACTTGCCTCACATAGGCAAAATTTTCTCACAAAAGAAACATGGGAAATATTTGCTATTTTACTTGATGCAGCAGATGAGAACAAAGACAAGTAACACATTTTCCTTATATCAATATAGGAAAACTGAAACCATGGGGCAACCCTAGTGAAACTCACCAGAGACTATCTTCCCGCAAGAAATACTACAAAGAGCCACCTCTTCAAACCAGGCATGTATATAATGTCAGTTCTTAAAAGTCCCTGTCAAGTGCTATGATTATTCTGTTGTCCCCTGCCTTCATTAAATTAACATTTGGGTAACCTTGAAGTTTATACCTTTTTCATTTTAGAATCGTAGAAATTTGATCAAACGCAGAGCCTTTCTTAAAATTCTCTATAGTATAATTCCTTAAAAGAAGTTTGATGGCCCTATGCCAAAAATTAGATCACATACAAAAAAAAGGCAAGGATTTCTGGCAAGTAGCTAAAAACATAACTGCATGAAGTGTGAATAATAGAATTAAGTTTGCCTTCATTTTACTTACTTGTGCATTAATGCTAACATTATTTTGTCATCTTTTTATTTAACAGAGATGGCAGACGGAAGAAACACATACAAGAAAGAAAACAAAGAAAAGACCAAAAGCTTAGCACATTTAGGTGCCTGACTATTATTTAAAGCTGACTTTCAAATTGTTCTGTAAATAATCTTAATACTGAAAATCTTTACTTTCTTGTAAATAATTGTCTCTCCTTAAGCTATCTAGTCTGAGTATTCTTATTTTAATATGAACATAGAACACTGGCGCTACTAAATTCAGTTATTCAGTAGCTAATGCTATTATCTTAGAAAGCTTAGAAACATTTTCAAAAGGTTAGCTATCTTTTCTTCTCTCAAATCTGCTTAGTATATGCCTTAACTATATCCTAAATTGTCTGGAAACATTCTCTTCTCAACAACTGGATCGAAGTTTATTGTATCAAACAATTCAATCTTCGATTGAATTTTAAATTCATTTAATGAGAATTTTTTTATAAAAATGTCTTAATTTACTCCTAATTAAAATAACTGCGTTTATAGATAAAAGTTCATTTTAATTTTACTACTACTGGTATACAGCTTTGTCATATGTTGTCAACTTTTGTCAGTCAACTTTTTTTTTCATTATACATTATACGAGGGGGGACATGATAGCAGTGTTCCACTATCTCATGGGCTGCCAGAAAGAAGAAGGAGTCAAGCTATTCTCCAAAGCGCCTGGAGGCAGGATAAGAAGCAACGGATGGAAACTAATCAAGGAGAGAAGCAACCTAGAACTAAGGAGAAACTTCCTGACAGAACAATTAACCAATGGAACAACCTGCCTCCAGGAGCAGTGAATGCCCCAGCACTGGAAGTTTTTAAGAAGAGACTGGACAGCCATTTGTCTGAAATGGTATAGCGTTTCCTGCCTGAGCAGGGGGTTGGACTAGATGACCTCCAAGATCCCTTCCAACATCATATTATTGTTATTATTATTATTGCATATATTCTGATGATTAGGTTTTTCTTTTTAAAGTAGAATTGTTAATTTAATTAGCAAGTCAAAAAGAAAAGCTAAATCTATGATAGAAATAAAAACCTATCTTCTATACTCCAACTGGGGAAAATAGGATAGTATATATCGAGATGACTTAAATTTTAAATATTGTTACTTCAAAATAGATCAATTTCTTAGCTACTAAACCAGCTCTTAAACTGGTAAAAAGGTTTCTAAACTGATTTCAAAATATACACATAGTTATCCAAAACTTTTTTCCTTATACAGTGGTGATTAAAACGTGAACCTATTTGGATTTTCAATGTTTCTGCATAAATATCACCTAATATATATGTTCTACACACAAGTCCAAGCAATAGATAAATTAAACAAATTAGCAAAAAACATCCCTATTCATTTATGTATTGAAGAAGCACCACTGTAGATTAAATCCTGTTAAGTTCTTGTACCATAATCATAAAATAATACTTTTCAAACAGTAATTTATCCACATTACTGGTGCTTGTGATAATGGATTAGGTAGCTTACTCAATGCTTTTTCTAATCCCTTGTATTCTAGTATACATCTGGGGCAAATCATTAGGAAAGGAGCCTAAGTCACTTATACAACCGAGGTTAAGGTGAAATCTGGAGAGTTGTATCAAGCAGTAGTTAAATCTTTTAATTGGTTGCTCATACCTAGTTTCTTCAGTGGCATTACCTAAAAGTTCCTGCTCACATTAAACTCTTCCATTAGAAAATAATTGACATCAACAAACTTGATGAAAAAGAATTGCCTTTATAGCAATTTATAGCAGGTTTTTTCAAACATTTGTGGAAATCTTTTGAAACATAATTTTCTCACCTCTTTGTTACAAAAATGCTTTCAGTTATCACTCAAATATAAAAGTGTGTTTTATTTAAATGTTAATTTACCCAGAATAAATGATTTTGGTATTTGAATTCCAAGGGTGCTGGCTGTAGCTACAACTTCAGAAATGCTATACTCTTGTTTGAGGAACAAACAAAAATAACCTGTGCTATGTTGATGACACAACCGTAATAGCCAAAAATGCAAAGGATCTGCAAGCTCTAGTAATAGTGGAGAAAAGTAGGATTAAATTAAGGAAGACAAATTACAGGTATTCCTTGTGTAACAGCCATTTGTTCAGCGATTGTTTGAACAAATAGTATTTACATCTGATGCTTGAAGTTAATGCCAATGCAGCAGTCATGTGATCATAATTTGGGCACTTACAAGCCTGCCTGCACTAAGGCTGCAGGGGTGCTTCAACTTCCTCCATCTGCCTATTTCCATTCCCTCCACATTTCTGCCCGTTTGGCTACCCAGGCTTCCAAATGATCTTAAGAATGGCATGAATGATTTGGAGAACAGGAGCTATGAAGGCCTTGGAAGCTTTCTGAAAGCTTTCTAAAGCACCGTGAGAACAGCAATTTGGAGATGACAGGTACAGCCTTATTACAATGTTTCAGAAGACCTCAGAAATCTGAAAATAACACATCATTGGAGAATGGCAACAGCAGCCTTGGGGGAAAAGGCCTGGTGCGGCAAGCCACTGCCTTAGATAAGGCTGGGCATGCTTCACCAGTAGTGAAAGATACTGGAAGTCAACTGGGTATGACAGGGCCTATAAGGGGCTTCGCACTGTGGCAGTAAGGTGGCTGGCCAGTGTAGGATTTGAGGTGGCAATTCTTGGGTCTAGCGACACGGACTGAAACAGGGGCAGTAGGCCGGGATTGAAGGCTCCAGGCATTTACTTTTGCCACCACTGCCACTGAGGAGTGCTACTGTGCAGGGAAGTCATAGATGAGTGTGGGGAATTGAAAATGAGGCAATCCCTTTCTTTACGGGGGCTTGGGGCTGGGAAAGGGAACCATGTCAGGAATGGCTTGGATCAACCTGAGTCCTTGTCCATTTACCAGTGGGATTTGGTTACTAATGGCAGCTGTTGGAATTGCTGTTGCAAAGTGATGCAGTTACATGAAGTCACACTTTTAAACTTTGGTGTTGAAGACTGCCAAGAATGTGGATAGCCCAAAAAATAAAAATCAATGGATCACAAAACAAATCATCCCAGAGTTCTTACCAGAGTCACAAATGACGAGGCTTAAATTATTCTGCTTCAGACATATGTGAAAACCTAGCTTTCTGGAAAAGGCTCTAATGCTGGGGAAAGTGGAAGTTATAAGGAGAATGAACAGGAAGGCAGATAGACGTACAGTAGCAATGGATACAATTTTGGAAGATCTAAAGCAACTTAGGGATAGACCAGGGAGAATATCTGAGGTTGCTAGGCGTCAAAAACAACTTGATGGCAATCATATTATATATAAAATTTTGATATTCATACATTCATTTCTCCTTCAGCTAAAATAAATGCAGTAATTTTCTTCTGGCCAATGTAAGTACATGTAAACTACATGTAAAAAGTAGGATAAGCTCAGTTCTGTTTCTTATACAGATGTTCTTTACTAATTGGGGAGTGGGGAGCATGTGCACATTAGTTTCACTTCCCACCATCATCACCATCCAAGTGATGGCTAAATGGCTGCATGCTAGATGGTACTATCATCAAATTCTTACTTTACTATTTTGATTTTTGTCATTTTCCCATGACTAATTGCTTATTTAACTTATATTCACTGATAGGTCCCCTACTCAACTGTAGATTACTATTGAATGCTATGCAATTGCAGAAATATTCTAAATTGATACAAACAACTAGCCTCTACTTGTTCTGTTTCTGGGGATTTCTTTCATAGAGCTCATAGGCAAATGTTTCTGTATGTGATTTGTCACTGAACAATCCAATGAAGTCTATATCCAGCTGGAATGGACCATCTACTTTATCAGCCAGAGTAAGTCCCAATGTGCTGATCTGTTAAAAAAGAGAAAAAACACTTTGTATTATTTTCACAAAAATATTGTCTAAAGTCAGGCAGCATTTATTTATGTTGTGTCTATTAAGCCTAAACTGATGTTTTTGCAACAATTTTCATAAAAAAGATGAAACGTTAACTACATAGTTCTTGTGTCAACGCTGCTAATATTGAATATTCTTGCTTTGACAAAATATGCAGAACTGTCTGGTACTTTTAGAGTTAATTCAGATGAGAATGGAAGAGGAGGGAATCTTTGCCCTCCAGGTTAATTGGAAGATGTGAATCATGACCCCAAAATAGGGGAGGGGAAATGCCTGGAATGTTATGTGCAAAGGAAGGGAAATTCAGATCTTGGCATTCCTCCATGCCGTGCTGACACTCCGTTACACTAATAAAGGCTTTTTAGGTTAAACAATGCCTGAAAGTTCTTTGAAGTGTTTCATTAGTCAGATACATGACATCTTGATTAGCAACATTCAAAACTTATTTAAATCAAGAACAGAATTTCCAGAGAACTCAAAAATGTTCCAAACCTCCTCCTCCTCCTCCTTTAGTACACAGATTCAGCAGTCTTTTCCCCATCAAAAATCTATACTCCTTCAAGGCTGAAAGTTCCTCTGAAACAATGCATAGAATAGGCAGATGCAGTGCTTTTTTTCTTAAAAAAAAAAAAAAAAAAGGTGCCGGAACTCACACATGTCATACAACCCGCCTTGCCTACCCTACAAGGTTCCATCCAAAAAAGGTACCGGAACTCCGTTCTGGGTGTTCTATGAGAAAAAAAGCCCTGGGCAGATGTGACCCAGGGAATCCAAAGCATTCAGCAAAGCTGTCTTTTGTAAGCAGTAGGGCATTGCTACTTATTAAATCTATCCCTGGATTCAAGCTTTAGTTTTTGTTTAGTTCCCGATAATTGCTTCATGTTATACATTAAGGCATTTATAAGACCTAGTTTGATGCAAGCTCAAAGAAGTATTTAAAACTCCCTTTTTACCTTACCAGCTTAAAAAAACCTCAACAAACGTTTGAATAAACTTGGGTAACTTTTTAAACATGTATATTACTTTAATTACTAAAAAATCTTAAAATTTGTGGAAATGCATTTAAGACATATAGCAGTGTCTGAAAGAAAGCCTATCCAAATCTGAGCTGTAATCCTTTCTGTAAGCAGTGTTTTTGGAAGTTTGCTATTGTTTTCTTCCTAGGAATGAGAGAATGCCTGGCCCAAGGTAACCCAGTTGGCTTTTGTACTTAAGCCAGGACTAGAACTCAGATTTTCCACACTTAGTCCAACACTAACCATTAAACCAAACTGACTAGAATGGATTGATATGATACATACCTTTAAATAATCAATTACACTTTATTCATTGTATAGAAGATCTGTCATCATTGTTACAGTAAAGAATATTATGTAGTTCAGGGTTGGATTCTTGGTGTTTGCTGAGCTTGTTTTCCCACACCGCACTGACTTTAGCCTAGTTTAATAATGGAATATCTTCAGGAAAACCACCAAGTTCAGAGAACATCAAGAATCCAACTATCATACGTGCTTTTAATGTTCCAGTTGTCCTAGTTACATAGAAAGTAACAGTGACTAGAGTTGGGATTCAAGGAGGAAAACACAATGAAGAATTTGATTCATTTTCTGTCCCTATGTTACACCAGGTATGA